CTGCTGAAATAAAGTTTAAAAAGTCCTTATTTAAGCTGCCGTGTTTCAATAAAGTTGAATAATAATTTAAAACTAATAAAGAGGTTTTTCTCAATGCTCAAAGACAGGAGAGGTTTTGGAAAGATTTTTGTACTTTTATAAGTTTTTGGCTGATTGTGGCTCATATTTCATATGATTTTGGTACCTGGTGGAGTTGTCGTATGGAATAGATGAGTTTTATTAATATTTTGTAAACATTTTGTAATAATGGTCAAAAATTGGTTGTACTTCTTATGGTAAATTTGCTTTATCCATTGGCTGATTTGTTGTATTGCACCTTATAAGCAGTTTTTAAATGTATTACATCTTAAAATGTTTGTATTCAAGTAACTTGAGCCGAGTTTATATCATTTAAGTTTAATTTCAATAAGTAACTCTGTAAAATCTGTTTGGTGACAACCAATATTTGTCATGATTGTTTAATATTCTGGATGTGTCTTTTCTTTTTTGGAATAAGCAATAAATCTACTAAACTACTTTGTGTAATGTGTGTAAGTAACTTGATAAATACTGCAGATAATTACACATAGCAAGAAAACAAATGACTTCTAGAAGAGAGATGGAAAAAGAAATAAATGATAAAGAAATAATCAGTAAAAAGGGTTTTTATTGTCCCTTTAGCTCAGAGACTGAAGAACGGAGGTAGAGGTGGAGACTGAGATACAGGACCAGCCCTAACTCACTCTGACTTTAGACGGGAACTTTACACCAACTTAGAATAGTTATATTTATTTAATTTTTATATTTAATGTATATTTTTCCATGACTTTGATGTTATTTATTTCATTTTCATATTTTTTTCTATGACTCAGACATTATTTATTTAATTCTTTTTTTCCCCAATGGCGTAGATGTTATTTATTGAATTTTTATATTTAATATTTTTTTTGTACGACTTGGACGTTAAATTTACTTTGATCAAATTTCACTTCGGATGTTGGAAAATTTGTATATTTAGTTCTCGTAATAGAAGTTCTGCTGAATTTCTGTCTGACTTCCAGTAAACAACAAAGAGACAAAAACTGTTTCTCTTCAGAATCAAAGCTGCCGCTGGTTCTTCTTCATCACAGCAATAATGGCGGCCGATCCCAGAGAGTCCGGAAGAGTCCGGAAAAGTCCGGAAAAGTTCGGAAAAGTTCGGAAAAGTTCGGAAGAGTCCGAAAGAGTCCGGAAAAGTTCGCAAAAGTTCGGAAAAGTCCGGAAAAGTTCGGAAAAGTTCGGAAAAGTTCGGAAAAGTTCGGAAAAGTCCGGGGACACCAACGATAACTCTGTAGGAAAATGTAACGTCCAAACATGATCATTACTCACGAAAAGTGCTACCATTCCTGTTTTGGTTCAACATGTCTCAGCCTTCTAACCAAGTCCAGGAAGCCAAGGATGGATATCCAACCCCCCCACATCCAAGTCGGCCATTTTGATTAGGTCACCAATAGAAAGATCCCAGGCAAGAAGCTGGTAATTGCTTCATGGCAATATAGAGATTAATTTAAAAATAGTTAAATTAATCTGGCAAACACTGAATTAAACTCTATCCATAATATTATGTTAGAATAGTGGATGTCAAATAGGTTTGTACAATAAGTCTAAACAAGTTTAACCAAAAAATATTTATTTCTCACTATTATGAAGGCTGGGGGGTTAGGGTCAGGGTTAGGGTCAGGGTTAGAGTTAGGGTTAGGGTTAGGTTTAGGATTAGGGTTAGGATTAGGGTTAGGGTCAGGGTCAGGGTTAGGGTTAGGATTAGGGTTAGGTTTAGGATTAGGGTTATGGTTAGGATTAGGGTTAGGGTCAGGGTCAGGGTTAGGGTTAGGACATTGTTTATCTTCTGATTTCTTATAGACAGTAAAGTTTCGTTTCCACCTCAGAAAGCTGCTAGTCACATGACCTAATCAAAATGGCCGACTTGGATGTGGGAGGAGTCGGATATCCAGCCGAGGCTCCTTATCTGAGTTGGACTCAGATCTGCTGTATAACGGCAGATTTGAGGCATTTAAAAGGGCAAAAAACACACAAACAAAGGAGAGTCTCATTGGAAGTTTTCCAACTTATCTAAAAATACTTTTTCTTTTGCATAAGTTTGCCTTGAAGGACTTCGGCAACATTTGTCGTTCAGTCTGACTCACTTTTCTGCTGCCAACTGCCAGGAAAAGAAACTCTACAGAAAACAAAAAGAGGCCGATTCACAGGCCTGAGCGTCTGTTAAAACACAAAAACTGTGAGGAAAAAAGACTATTTGCATGATTTCTCTCAGCGAAAACACTGTGTTAGAAGCATAAAACATCATGATTGTAAACCACCAGCATCTATAGAAACTATATGTTATCAGTATATATGCAAAGTTGTTCGTACGTCCACATTCACACACTACCGGCATTTTTAAAGGACTATTCCATACATTTTTTGTATTGTTTTTAACAATGTGGTGACAGTATTATGCACACGATTCAAATGTCTCAGCCATAAAAAGGTGAAACAACTAGAGATTCTTGTACAAAGTTTAAAATGTTCCTGTCAGTGTTATCCAATGGACTGTTTCAATAACTCCATGATCTTTTGAAATATGGATTTGAATTGATATTATGCTGGAAAGAATAAAGTTGCAATAAATGTCCGGGGCTGATGTGGTTCAGAAGAGAGCTGATGTTGAATTTAATACGTCTCAGTGGGAAGAGGAGAGCTACAAATATAAAAATACAGATGGTTTTCATTTTATTTAGATCCTTAAGGCAGAAATTTAGATATTCAATGCAGCTGACTCCATTCCTAAGTAACCATTGGAGGATTTCCACTATGATGACACGCGGACAGACTAAGAGATTAGAGAACATCTGGATTTGTTATTTTTAAACTACAAAAGGGGGAGTAGGTCAAATACTGCTCTCTTAACTGCAAACCCCTGAATCAGATGTTCACACTAACCCAAAATATGCTCATGTTAGAAGAGTAATTAAACATTAATACATTAGAGTAAAGAGTAAAAACCAACAATCCACTAAGTTTTAGGGGAAATGTAGTTATGGGGAAATTCTAATTTAATCATCTGCGTGCCAAGTATGCTGCCTTTAAGTCAGAAATATGAAGACTTTTCAAAGATAATTAGCCTAATTTATGAGTACATTTTTGAGTACATTTTTGTTCTATAGTTGTATTTGTTCTAAGGATTGCATTACTCCTTCTTGAAATTTGTATCAAAAACAGAAAGCTAATCTTTCAAAGTTAAAAGCAGAACTATTAAATTAAACTAACAAACAACCATTTGATCCATTTTAGATGGTCATTTTGTGTAGTTTAAAATGACAAACAAACAACCTTCAATATTCGGAATATGTAATCCAACATTAAATGTTTAAGCTACATTGTTAATTGAGAATTTTATCCGATTTGAAACATTTTACTTTTTTATAAGTGAAGCTACATACGTTTCTTAAATTTAAGAAATACGCATGGATATAAAAACACAAAAAATAATAATAAAATACTTACACTTTGGTGTTCACACGTGCTTTGGCTAGTTCTCAGTCTGCACGACGGATGGCGGTATGTTTACAGCCTCTGTCAGAACTACCGGAATTAGAGGAGCCGAAGAAGAGTGGACAGCTGCTATGAAAGGTTATTCCATAGGTGAGTGCGCCACCAAACGACTAAATAATTACTCATACTGTCTGACAATGCGGTGATTTCTGTCCCAAATATTTTTTTCTTACCCTGCAAACTCGTGTTATGTTGCACGTGGACGGAAGTAATGGCCCACGAGCGCGTTTAGGAATAGTTAAGCTAGCTAACCGTACATGTTTCTGCTGGGTTTCAACTTCAGCGTGATTGATTTTACTATTTATTGAGCACATACGCTTCAATATATGACGGGAAAATGTCTAAATAGTGGCTAAAGTAAAAAACCAAAAGTTATCAATGGATAATATTAAATAAATATTTTTTGTTTTTGACTTACCGGATGTCAACAATCAACTTCCGGTAAACACAGATGCGTTAATCAAAATATGAACCTTGTTTTGCTTTGACTAAGATATATCTGATTTAATATTCTGAGTAATATGAATATATTTGAGGGGTTATGATGTAATTCAATTTAAAAAAATTATATTTATTCAAATATTTACCGTGAAACATAGCATGAATAACGACTGTAAAATGCCACTTCCGGTCCTGATTGGTTTGTAATTTGTAGATTCTTAATGCTTATTAGATGTTTACTTTTAATCGTTCATACACCTATTGAAACTATGACATTACTATGACTAGTTTTGTGAAAGATTTTCAGATCTGGCTACAATTAGAGGAGATTACAAATGATATTTTGTTGTTTAGTTTGAATTTATTTTTGTTTTTTTTAAATAATGAAATCTTTGAATAATACAAACTGTCGGTGGAACTTTATCTTTTTTTGGCTCACAGTTCCATTTTTTCCCCTTTATTTAAGGGATCTCAACTCCAGTCTTAGGGTTTTTTTCCCTGCAAGATTGAGATATTTCCCGCTCATACGCACCTGATTTAGATTGAATTGGTCTCCTCAAAACATGAAGTTCTCCACAGGTCTGCTAAAGGTGCATATTGATGTCAGTCAGGGGCTTGAGACCCCAGCTTTTGGAGATCATGGAGAAATTTAGTGCCAGCCTTTCTTTCTTTCCTTCACATTTTCATGCCATTTTTTAATATCATCAATATATTAATATAAAAAAACTGCATTATTGTGGTCTAACCAAATATTTAAATGTCTAAACTCCACAAAAAGCAACAGATTTTTTTCCAATCCACAAAACGCATACCTTTGAAAATGGAAACTTTTTGACCCCACATTTATCTAAACATTGAGATTTAATTTTCAACTAGCTTTAACCTTTTTAAAAAATATATTTGTCCACCAGATGGCGCTGC